TTGATCTCAAACATTGCATACAGTACAGAATTGCAGTTCAGAGTTTGCCAACTAAAAAGTCTTTAAAGAGGAAGTAGTTAAAAGTGATTGCAACATTTTTTATTTTTATTTTTTACATCAGGTGCAGTTTTTTTTGTTGAGCCTTGCTGTCATGACTCCAGGCCACCCATAGGGGGCCACGCAGCCCCACTTCGGGATCACTGGATTATTGTTAGGTCTCTGCAAATAACTGCAAATAAAATGACTGGGAAAAACAACAGTGACACAATTATACATAGTTGAGGTAATAAAAGAGAAAAGAGTAAGTAATTAAAAGTAAATTGTTAAGTTTTGGTTTGAATTAACCCCCCCAAGCAGAGACTGGCACGAGTTAAAAAAAAAAAGGTTTGATAAACAGAGAGAGCAGTCAGTGGAGGCATGGAGGAGGATGAGGATGTCATCTATACTTCCTTCTAGACTTAGGGACTTTCCCAGCACCTTCAGATTAAGCATGCAATCTTGCACTTCCTGTACTCTGTCCCTGCAAAGGTCTCTCAGTTTAACGGCCAGCCAAGGTTCCTCATTCCTCAGTCCTTGCGCAACGTTACTCGGAGCCCAAACATGTTGGCCAGTGATAAACAATTCAGTATTTATAAGATAAGAGGCCATGATGTTGAAGTTTTCACCACTTACATTACAGCTTTGTCTTCATTTACCAAAGTCTCATGGCTTAAAACAGTATTTCCAGAAAACCAAGCAATAAGGAAATATGGTACAGTAATAATGCATGTTCTTAACCAAAAGGGTTCTATGAAGATTCAATACCTGAACAGGACTGTGAGGATGCATTAAGTTTGTTTTAAAGCTACAAAATCCTCTACCTAATATTTTTTCTCATTACTCTCTTTTTCGTCTTTTTTTTTTTTTTTTTCAGAATATGTAACGAACATCAACAGAGGGTGTGAAAAGCAGCCAGCGGAAGAGCCAACGTTTTCCACAAAAGCACAAAAGCTGGTGTCAAGAGAAGCCCCCTTTGATCACTTCATTGGATTTCGATTTTCCCATCATGCCTGTGATTGCTATCTGCACCACCCAGCTGCTGTGGGTGCGTGTAGCTGCCTTGCTGTTCACCTGCGTGGCCTTCAGTGTTGCAGCACATGGAGCTAATCTACCTCGTGGAGGCATGGCCGACTGGTGCATCTTCTGCTGGGCGTTCAGCTTCGCCGGCACCCTGCTGGTCCTGCTGGTGGAGCAGTTTAACCTCCAGACGCGAGCCCCGGTGTCCTGGTCCAATTTCCCCATTACTATCGGTTGCTACGGCTTCCTCCTGTGCCTCTCTGCCTCGGTCATCTTCCCAATCATTTTCCTCAAGGATGAGCGGTGGTCCTACGGCAAAGATCGAGACTATCGCATCACCTCTACTGTTTTCTCCTGCCTGGCAGCGGTAGCCTACCTGGGTGAGGTTAGCCTGACAAAAGCCAGGCCAGGAGAGGTGTCAGGTTACATGGCTACAGCTCCGGGTTTGTTGAAGGTGTGTCAGACCTTTGTGGCTTGCATCATCTTCATCCTGGTGAGCAACCCTGTCTCGTATGAGCACCACCCAGCGCTCCAATGGTGCTTGGCCGTGTACTGCATCTGCTTCATCCTCTCCATGGCCGTGGTGGTGCTGTGTGTGGGCGAGTGCACCGGCTGCCTCCCAGTACCTTTCTCCAAGTTCCTGTCGGTCTTCGGGCTCCTGGCGGTTATCATGTACTTGACAGCTACCATCATCTGGCCCATCTTCCAGTTTGATAAAAATTACAGAGTTCGACACTACGAGCCTTCAAAGTTGATCACTGTGGCGGTGCTAACCGGCCTTAACTTCCTTCTTTACGTTGCCGATCTGGCCTACAGTGCCAGGCTAGTGTTCGTCAGTGGCTGAGAGTGAAAGACAGGAAGTTGTGCGATACAGTTAGTGTTAAAGAACAAATATATAGAGGCTAAGCGCTTATTTGGCATTATGGAAACGTCTAGCCGATGTTGAATGTCTCTGGTTGCTGTAATTGGCCATATTCACAGAGCAGACATTTTCTTCATACTTAATGCTCAGTGTGGGAAGCTCAAATGTGGTTAAAATGTCATAATGCTGTGTTCCAGGTTGCAGATATATGTAATAAATCTGACAGTTTTTATAACCACTGCTCTCTAATTCATCAGCCACTGAAAAGACAACAGGTGGTAGGGAAACTGAGTGCATCAGTCATATTAAACACAAGATTACATATTTTATAACTCACTAGACAACAGCGTTCCCAGCCGTTCCTTCCTACATAACATTATTGTTGAAAGTCTCACACGACGACACCATAGGAAAGGAGAAATTATAATAATAATAATAATAGGTCAATTTAATTGTTAACATAAATGCTAGCAAGCTAACATCCTACTGTTGGAGTGTTTCTACAACAGTAATGGAGTCGATTATATTCCTAGCTTACAGTTTGCTAGGATTCTACATCCTTTCTTATAATGTAGCTTATTGGCAAGTCTACTTGTTAGCATTTAGCCTCCTAGATTGCCGGCTTAACCTACATGCTAACCCTGTAGTAGCCAATTGTAGCCTAATGTTTGCGAGGAATAAGTTAATCATGCATCAATGTTAGCATGGAAGTGGCTGATTACTGAAGTCAGTTCCTGCCGTGCAGTAGTGAATAGGTGATCAAATATTTTGTTATAATGTGATAATTGGCCCATTATACCTCCACATGGTCTTTTCAGTTGCTGATCACATTGACCAAAACATTTCTGATGCAATGAGCTGATAATGATTTATTAGACAATCATGTCTTCCTTCTAGACTTAAGGACTTTCCCAGCACCTTCACATTAAGCATGCAGTCTTGCACTTCCTGTACTCTGTCCCTGCACAGATCTCTCAGTTTAACGGCCAGCCAAGGTTCCTCATTCCTCAGTCCTTACACACGTTACTATGAGCCCAAACATGTTGGCCAGTGATAAACAATTCAGTATTTATAAGATAAGAGGCCATGATGTTGAAGTTTTCACCATTTACATGACAGCTTTGTCTTCATTTGCCAATGTCTCATGGCATAAAACAGTGTTTCCAGAAAATCAAGCAATAGGGAAATATGGTACAGTAATAATGCATGTTCTTAACCAAAAAAAGAAAACTGAACCTGAACAGGACTGTGAGGATGCATTAAGTTTGTTTTAAAGCTACAAATTGCCGGCTTAGCCTACATGCTAACCCTGTAGTAGCCAATTATAATGTTTTCGAGGAATAAGTTAATCATGCATCAATGTTAGCATAGAATTGGTGATTACTAAAGTCAGTTCCTGTCGTGCAGTAGTTAATAGGTGATCAAATATGTTGTTTTAATCTTTGTTAGATTATTTATGTTTATACAATTTGCAACTTGTGACAAAGCAGTTATAATACAATATTATTAGAGTTTGCATTAGGGCTTCCTAATGTGAGCAACCTAGCAGAATGGCTGCCCTGTGAATATGGTGGATTCAACCTTAGCTAAACCCTTTCCCTCTAGCCAAAGTCGATTTTTCAAGCTTTTCTTCACACAATGAAGCAATGTGTGAACGGTGCTCGAAGAGTGGTGCTCTGCTTTCAAAAAAATGTGGCGAGTAATGTCTTTTATTTAGCCTGTCTAACGTAGAGTGAAACAAAATTCAAGTTAAAGGACGTTAGCTGCGAGCATTAGCATGTCAGGCTAGCTAACTTACTAGTTACATTTAACAAACACAGGTTCCAAAACCAAAAACATCCTTTAAGTGGTTATAAACTTCTTCATGTTTTTGTCTGGTTATAATGTAATTTTTGTAAAAGCAACCCATTCAAGATGTCAAGTTTCAACTCCAGCAGCTTCAGTTAATGTTAGATAGCATTCAAGTTGCCAAATATATTCTTCCTGAAAGCCTTTCCTTTTGCAGCGTTAAAGTAAAGCCAGCGTCGCTAAGAAGCCAAACAGTATTATGTTAGAACTAATAACAGACTGATTCAGAGTGTCTCTACATTTAATGTCTGATGGATTGCTCATTTGATGGTATGAATGCTTGTTTTTGTAGCTTTAGCCTCAGTCTTCTGAAACATGGGCTAAACATCATGCATGTAGTCATCAATGATATATTGAGACCTGTCACAGAGTTTTCTTTTGAAACAAGTCACATGAACATATTGAAAACTCAGCCAGTATACCTTAAACTCAACTTTGTGGTGCTAAAGTCAGCTTAGCCTACAGTAGTTAACATGCTAGCTGACATACCAGCTAAGAAATTCTGCCACCAACTGTTTCTGTATCAGTTGGCAAGAGTGATGTATGTTGCTAAAATTGAGAAGCTTGTTTGTGTATCTGTCTTTGGAATATAAGAAGAATTTATACAATTTGTCAAGATGTCATTTTTAATTGCTTTAAAAGCTTTTGGATAACAAAAAGCTTGACAGACTTAGGATGAGTAACTAAGGGTGCCTGGACTTGGTCAAAAAGGTGAATTAAAAAAATTAGAAATTCTGTTGACACAAGACAAGCAATATTCCCCCCCCCCCCCCCACAAATAGCCTTTCTGAAATGTCAGTATTTATCCTCGAATGTGAACTCACCTGATGTGTCAAAAACAATGAAAATCCAATAAAGTCGACACACTGGAACAGGGAATGAGCGGTTCATGGGAAGCAATGTATTTAATGTATCTGAGGCACACATATCCTGTTTGTTGATGGGGAAATCTCTTGTACTAAAATCTCTCTATTGTGACATGTGAAATAATGTTTGCGCAGATAAGGAGTTCAGTTCAACCCACATTTGATTTCAAAGCATGTTATCATTCAAAGGGTGTGTCATGTCATGACTACAAGTTTTTCAGCTTTCGTTGTGCAGCCATGAAAAAGAATTTAAACATGCATTTTTTGCTCTCTTTGCTCCCTTATAAAGAAAATAAATGGGCATGAGACAGCGATGAAACCAGTTAGCAGACAATATAAGACATTTTGCGTGTAAGCACAGGAGTCTGATCACCGGAGAAAAGACGCACAGGTCGGTGGACTTTCAGCTCTAAACAGTTTTCACTCATCACTGACATCTCTTTCAACAACATGGACGGTAAGCTACGATCAACTCTTTTAAAATGTATTGAAACTGTTCACTCTGATCTAAAATGACCAACTTACAGTGTGGAGATGCACACTTATCCATAAAATGATCACGTCACATGTCAAAGGCAAACTAATTTCTTCATATCTGTACAAAATGAAAAGATAACACGAAAACCCATGGCTGCATGTGGGATGCCTTCAATATCTGTTTCATTCATATCAAATAACAAAATCAGAGATCTCTCTCTCTCCTATTTCTGTAGTCACATTGGGTAACAACTTAAAAATGTGTTAGTTTTGCGAGAGAAATAAATCCGATGAGGAGAAACACATGCAACAATGTGGTGTTTGTGAATGTTTCTTTTTTAGGCTGTAGAGCCATTTTAACTTTCCATCAAATAAAATGTGTCCAATTGTGGGTTTTGTCCGACATTTTCAGACTAAATCTAAATTGATTTTGTTTAATGAAAACTAAACTCTGTCACTGTTATGACATTGTTACAGTAAAAAATGTCTAGTGTTCCTTTTGCTGTCTTATGAAAAAAATGTTTTGAAGGAGAATGCTTCAGACATCCTCGTATCGTGTACCAAAATATTGGCATTGTGAAATAATGTAGTTTAAGCAAATAAAGTGTTCAGCTAAACCAAACCGTTACTCAATCACGAGAACAATTGAAACATGCCTTTGTTGCTCCTTTTAATCTTATAAGGTAATTAAATGGGTGAGGAAGTCAGTTGCCTTACAATAGGAGACATTTATAGTCTTTGAGTTATGTTTTCAGAATATTGAAAAATGTCTGCAACTCCGTTCTGTTTAAAGCTTTATTTAGCCTCTACTTTAACATAACTATGAAGGCTTTATTCTTAAAACATATTTTTGCTAATAATAATCCGCAAAGCAATCCCATTTGACACACTCTTTAGAACAACTATTTGAATAAAACCAGTACTGGGTATTGCCAAAGGTATAGCAGCTAAGCATTCAGCCTCATTTGAAAAGGTTCAATTAGCATCAAGATTAAAGAGGACTGGATAAACATATTGGGATTTTTTTTTTTTAAGTTACAGAAGGAAGTTGACATAACTATCTTGTTAATTTGGAAAAGCATGGCTGTTTTTTTTAATGAATTGACAAGAAATATCTCAAAATAACGACAATGTTCTACATGAAAAATACAAATCTGCCCAGTTTTACAAGTTAACTATCTCGTAAATTCTTTTGGGGAAAAAGAGCATTTTTTTTTCGCAAAATATGTTCTGGTAAATCTCAATTGAATGAATATGCTTCCGTATGTCCTCTACTTGTTTGAAATAAAAACCTTGTGTCATTTATATTCTTTAACATTTAGATACATGTGAATATTCAGATCAGAACAAGAGCAAATATAAGCCTGTTGTCGACTTTGATCATTCATTGTGTTTTCTTTTCCTTTTTTCACAAGTAAAATTAGTAATTTTTTAGTTTTTAATGTTTTGCTGCCAGTGTGGAGGTCTACAGCTTCTTCCTTCAATAACAATGAATTGTAGATTTTAAATTTTTTTTTATTTTTCCATCCTCTGTTGATTTCAATATGAACACAATTCTTTGAAGTTATGAATAAAAATCACTTCTAATACTGTTGTTATTATCATGTCCAAACACTTGCAGTCTTGTGTTTATATAAGGAGGAAAACCCCGTCTCCTCATATCGAAAGTAAAAGTAGTCTGACCACAGGAGAACACAAACAGGACTGAGGACTGCTGTGAAACCGTTTTTCAACTTTTCTCTGACTTCTCTTTCAACAACATGGACGGTAAGTCAATTTTTTCAGTCAAATTACTATTTTAGTAGGCCTAAGTAAGTAAGTAAGTAAGTAAGTTGGTAAAGGTTATTTTATTGCACCTTTTAAGAGCAGACATGGGTTAGGCAAGGCTTTGCTGGCACTGTACAGGAAACAAATTTCAGAAACACAAACTACATAATGGACCCTCACTGGGTGCTACTGCGGACAGTCAGCCTAGCCTGTGAGCCTGGGCTCAGGGCAACAAACCCCACTATTGTGTTTGCAGATTGTCAGACACACATTTGCAGATATGTGTACGCATTTGTGGATCTTTTTCCACATTTGTGGATCTGTGTACGCATATTCAAATAGTTTTGCCACAATAATAGCTCTATACACAGTCTCCTTTGGTTTTTTTAGCCTGGTGGGAGTAAGCCCCAGCAGACCCTGGTCAGAGTACCTCAGGGACCTGCTGGTGTTATAAGGCCTCAGCAGCTCAGTGACATAGCATGACTCTAAACACTCTAAACACTTGCAGTCTTGTGTTTATATAAGGAGGAAAACCCCGTCTCCTCATATCGAAAGTAAAAGTAGTCTGACCACAGGAGAACACAAACAGGACTGAGGAGTGCTGTTAAACCGTTTTTCAGCTTTTCACTGACTTCTCTTTAAACAACACAGACAGGTAAGTTAATTTTTTCAGTCAAATTACTATTTTAACATTATGGAAATGCACACTAAATGGGCACATTATCCTCAAAGTGATCATGTGCTTGAGGCAAACTGAATTCTTTATTAAAGTACAAAATAATAAATAATAATAATAAAATAAGCTAATAGCAGTCTGGGACGTCCCTGCCTGTGTGAAATGTTGTCACCTTTTTTCTATACAAAATGTCTTCCCCTACATTTAAAAAAAATCAACAGTTAAGTTTGGTTTCACTTTCTTTTCTATTTTTTGCTCTCTTGTACAAAAATATCCCTGGTATTTTTGGCCCTTCTCTCTTTTTGAAAATGAATACAAATTAAAATGTCATCTTTATCTTTAACCACTTTGGGTGACATCGCTGAAATGGGTTAGGGTACTGGAGCCACTTTGAAATTCAATTAAAGGCTTTATATATGATTTTTTTATCCAGCAGATGTCACCCTTGAGCACCAGCACAAAACCAAAACAACTGGCGCTGCATTGTTGTGTCAGTATGCTAATGCTAGCGATCTTTATTATGCTCGTATCTTCACACTGCATGTAAATTTATCCGAAATGACCGTGATCTAGAAACGCTTAAGTGACATTCAATGAAGCAATGAGTACAGTATGTTATTCTTCTTTTCTCTAGTCCCTCAATTAAACAACTTTTATACGCGAGGGGATGAGCCAGCCGTCATCTTTTGTTATTATATCAATAGAGAGCCTCCTGGCGGCAGAATCTACATACTGCGCCTTTAAGTCAAATATTCTTGTTCTTCAACAACAGATTAGAGTGAAGCAGAGGAAATGCAGCTGGTGTCTGAAATCACATTGATTTCCCGTGTCACTATTTTGAATGGTCCAACGTTGATCATTTTTTCTTCCTGCAGTCGCCTTGTCTTTTTTGTGACAGAAAAAGCATAGATAGGCAAATCGGTAGTAGGCCATCACCACATTTTCATAGTATACCAACCAGTTGTTTTTATAAACAGTTATTCGCGTACAAATGCAGCTGACAATCCACTCTAAATTGTTGTTTCTCATCATCCAGAAGGCAACTGCACCAAGGAAACTATGCATGACGTTAAAAAGAGAATGGAGCCCGATAGCCAGTCAGCAGGACGCGTGCCAAAGGAAGAGAACAACACCAAGGCTCTCAACAATGTCTTTAGGAATGGTTGGTTGAAATTAGCAGGCCCTGCATCCAAATCCTTGGTGATTGCTTTATCTGGGTCAGCTTTTGTAGCTTTGTCTGACAACCATGGATCGAGAAGAGAGGCAGAAGAACTCACAGAAATACTGCCAATGCCAAAAGGAAAAGAGGCTGATGGAGGTGTTGCAGAAGTACCAGTGAGGGAAGGAACAACACCAACAGGTAAAACATAGTCCTGCTTTGTATCAGGGTAGGCCCAAATGAATTTCCAAATAAACTACAATTACAAATCACAGCAGCAGTTACCAACAAAATGGACAATAACCATAGTAAAAGTTTTTAGCATAAACTCCGACCCACATGACCATGCACAATTTAAGCTATGCAAACCATGACATGTATCACTGATCCGTTGCAGCACTAAGCGTAAAAACACTTTACCAGAACCAACATAATGAATGGTCAAAAATCTTTGTTAAGATGCCATAAACAAACAGGTTACTTACTCTGAGTGACTTTTTCCTTGTAGAGCCACCAGCGAGGATTGTCATCTCAAGAACACCTGCAGCAGGGAAAAGCATCAAAGGTAAAGATATGTGGAGAGATGATTTTTTAAAGACAAGTGCAGACAAACAACCTACAGCTTCAGATACTGCGGTGTACCACAGAGCACTTGTCTAGGCCCGGTGGTTTTCTCATTGCGCATTAAATTGAGAAATTCAAAGAATGGCCAGATACATAAAAATATAATGGTTAGCTACTTAAAGCGTGTTTAGGTGTAAAGACTAACATATTAATTTACCTTTTTTAGACTGGTTTTTCAAACTGTATGCAACTGTGCTAAGAGCTCTTTCATTGTGCATGCACTTATTTGAACTTTTATAGCAAGAAATTGCCTTTGACTTTGTTTTTTTTTGCATATTGATCCTTCTGCCAACTAAATAGACCTGTCAGTGCAGAACAGTGTAGGAAAGTCCTTACTAGAAGTTGTGGCTATTGTTAGTGTGTACACAAGCAATCTATCAATCATATGTATCTGTAACCAGCAGAAGGGATTTCTCAATCAACCATAACTGGAAGCCAAATCTGGGTAACTTATTCTTATCTCAAAATTGAGTATACAACTAAACATGGGGAAATGACTCAAATGCTGATTAAAATAATAATCAAATTCAGTCCAAAAAGAAATATACAGGTTCGCCTTTAAGCAGTCCCTAAAATGCACAGTACCAATCTAATATGACTCTTCTCTTCTAGTTCTAAAAACATACAGGATTGTCCTGCTGGGAGAAACCAAAGCTGGGAAAAGCAGCCTGGCAAACACCATATTTGAAGAGGATGTGTTCAAAGTCAAACATAGCCCCACTTCTGGAAAAAGTGAATGTCAAGCAGATTCAAAATCTGTTGATGGAAGAAGAATTACTCTGATTGAGACTCTGGATTTTTTTGGTAAAGATAGATCTGAGGAGGAACTGAGGCGAGAAGTGGGGAGGTGCATGACAGCAAGTGCTCCTGGGCCTCATGCATTTTTCATAGTGTTGAAAGTGGAGAGATCCCCAGACTACTGGAAGGATGTCATCCAGAGAATAGCTCAATATTTACCTGAGGCTTTCAATTATGCGGCAGTTGTCTTCACTCACGGTGACCAACTTCAGAAAGGAATGAAAATTGAGGAGTTTGTTGAACAGAATAAATGTCTCAGTGATCTGGTGAAGAAGTGCGGAGGGCGTTGTCACGTCGTCAATAATAAATATTGGACGACAAACCAACAGGGTGACTACAGGAGCAACAAGTTACAGGTGGCAGAGCTGCTTAACACAACAGACAAAATACTAATGGAAAACAAAGAAGGCTGTTATAAGATGCAGCGAGCAGTTCAGACTGAAATCGAGAAAGGGGGCAAAAGAAAAGCCGAAGGAGATGCACCACAAGGGGACCCCAGTGAGACTAACAACGGTGTCTCTAAGGGTACATGGATCAAATTTACAGGCCCTGCAGCAAAATCATTGGCAGGATTATTTGGGCCAGCTGTTTTGCTGGAAACTGAGGAAAAAGATGATGAAGAAGAAGAAGATGTAGGAGAAGAAAACAAAGTAGAGGAGGAGGAAGAAGAAGATGTAGGAGAAGAAAACAAAGTAGAGGAGGAAGAAGTGGAAGAAGAAGGTGAAAAAAAAACAAATGATGAGGAATCCGATCAGAAAGACGAAACAGAAACAGAAAAAACTGCAGAAGACAAGAAGGTGACAGAACTTGAAAAGGGGAAAGAAACAGAGAAAAAGGCAGGAGCCGGTGGTGGACTATTTACCATTATAGGTAGTCTCTTTGGGATCGTAGGAGTAGTATTGGCAGGAGCAGGAGCGGGGGCAGCAGGAGCAGTGGCAGTGGCAGTGGCAGTGGCAGTCAGCAGGAGCATGGGCAGTAAGAGCAGTGGCAGCAGGAGTAGCTTTTATAGCTCAAAAGATATACCAGTTCATTGAATTTTTGAAGACCCTACCTAGACTTGTCGCGATCATACTGCTGGTGGTTGTCTTCTTCCTCATGCTACTGGTATATCTTTTTGGTGTCCAATTTCCATTTCTTGGAACCCTCCTCCAAACTATTTGGAGTAACTACTAATGTTTACTGTGTCAGTGGTACTACTAATACTTTTATAGAAGTGGCAAGCAGTGGCAGTGGCAGCAGGAGCATGGGCAGCAAAAGCAGTGGCAGCAGGAGTAGCTTTTATAGCTCAAAAGATATACCAGTTCATTGAATTTTTGAAGACCCTACCTAGACTTGTCGCGATCATACTGCTGGTGGTTGTCTTCTTCCTCATGCTACTGTTATCTTTTGGTGTGCAATTTCCATTTCTTGGAACCCTCCTCCAAATATTTGGAGTACTACTAATGTTTACTGTGTCAGTGGTACTACTAATACTTTTATAGAAGTGCGTTACTCTTAGATTGCCCTAAATCCGACTCCTTTGAGTGGAAAGGTATCAAAAATTACGTTTGAAGGGAAGAAATCAAGGGGCTGGATAGTCATCCTATAACATGAACCTTACAATTATTTCTCCAAAGTTTAAAGCATCAAGTCAGATCGCTGTATCTCCTTTAGAGTATTGAGATTGGTGTTAAGTCTCAGAACACTTTTCTGAGAAAACAATTGTGTCAGATTGTGTTGGATGTCGGATAATTCCAATGCTCTGATTTTTGTATGAAGGTAATGAAACAGGGGTTATAAATGCCACTTCGCGGGAGCATTTTATATCTACTGCTCAAATGTTTATTTACTTTTCTTCTGAGCTGATTTAAAAAAATGCATTATTTAGCAGCATGACAATTTGTGACAGTCACAATATTAAAAATGTAAATCACATTCCAAGTTCCTTGTATGGCCACTCGAGGCGGGTGATGGGTGCTAATTTCCAACTCTGCTAGGAATCTGTGCATATTTTTGTCTTTATAACGTGACACCGATAAGTGCTACTGCTTCATCTTCTGACATCGAACAAGAGAAACCAAAAGCATAGCGCCCTCTGCTTGTTAAAAATAGCATTGCGCTACATATTTTTGTCGAATCGATTAAAATTGTCCATATTTGTATGTACTGCGATGTGTTATTAGATCCCCATCATTTATTAAAGTAGTAGTAGTCACAAAGATCTTGGCTGACCTTCTCCATACAATCTGTGTTTTTAATAATCAACATTATTTTTCTGGTATTGTTTAAATATAATGGAGAGTATCTATCATGATCATTTTTATCTTTATTCCCTGCATCTTCAGTATATGTGTGGCTTCAAATGTTTTTGATCATGTTGAACTTTTAATTTTTAACACACATTTGAAAGTAAAAAGATGAATCATTTGTTATTTTTTTAACATACAGCTCGTTGACTTTCTGGAAAACACAACTGAGCTTGTGCTTTTGAGCGTGTGTTGTATTTTTTACTGCAGTTGATTATTGGTAGTGAAAAAATCTTATACTTGAAAAAAAAAAAATTATTGATGTGTCCACTTCAAATGTTCAACATTGACATACTAAAATACATTCTATTCCCCAATTTCTCTCTGATTGCTTTCCTTCCTTTATAGAAAATTGCTGTTAGACTGATACAAATATTACTGCTCTCCTTATAACATGCAAATATATAAAATGTTTTAGTATAAACATTGGACCTAGAGCTACCTGTATAGAGATTAAAATATGAACCTTCGTGTTGATTTGATGATGGATTAGAAAGTGGGGAAGACACTTAACCCCAAGTATCTCGCGCTGCTTCGTTGGCGGCGTAAGAAAGGGATTAGTTACTTCTGATGTTCACTTTACGAAGAAGACTCTGTCACCAGTGTGTGGATGGGTAGGTGTGACATAAAAGCGCGTTGAGTCGTCAGAAGAATAAAGATAGATTTTTTATACAAAATGTTTATATACTTTATTAATCTCCAAGGGGAAATTTGGTTTACACTGTTATTTATAGTGACATGCTTCTCACACACATAGGCCCGAATCACACACATGCACAAACAGGATCCTGTGGACATGCATTGGTGGAGAGATGTCAGAGTGGGTGCTACAAGCTACTAAGCAGATTGGGGTTCGGTGCCTTGCTCAAGGGCACCTCGGCAGTGCTTGGGAAGTGCCCTGGCACATCTCCAGTAACCAGACCAACTTCCATATTATGGTCCACACCAGGACTTGAACCGGCAACCCTTCTGTTCCCAACCCCTATGGACTGAGCTACTGCAACCCCAATTGAGGTCTAATTGCAACGAAATGGCCTTAAGAGTTTTTTATTCTTGCAAGAAGGAGCAAATACACAGAGTGTGACACAAGGTAGAGTCTGTCAGAAGCTCAAAGGGGAAACACACTTATACAATGTATCAAAGGGGAGGGGTGGATAAAGACAAACTCTGTGGTCGGGCAGATTAAGAGTTTAGTGCTAAAACATAGTCTAGGCAGTTTCTGTATCTTAATTCAAAGACAAGCAGACACTCATGCAAAAGTTTGCGGTAAAACAGATGTTCTTGCAGAGGCCTCTGAAAAACAGGAAATGCTCGGGCCAGGTGCCTTGAACAGCGGTATTTTCTAAATGAGAAAAGTTATTTTGGCACATCAGCATAATGTTTTTTTTTTCATTACAGTAGTTTGAACAAAGAAAGTCTTCAGTTAAACCCACATTTTATTTCAAAGCATGGAATCATTCAAAGCGTGTGGTGTGTTGTCATGACTACAGGTTTTGTGGCTTTCATTGTGCAGCCATGAAAAATAATTCAAACATGCATTTGTTGCTCTCTTATAACCTTATAAGGAAAATAAATGGGCGTGAGACAGCGATGAAACCAGTTAGCAGACAATAGAAGACATTTTGTGTGCAAGCACAGGAGTCTGATCACCGGAGAAAAGACGCACAGGTCGGTGGACTTTCAGCTCTAAACAGTTTTCACTCATCACTGACATCTCTTTCAACAACATGGACGGTAAGCTACGATCAGCTCTTTTAAAATGTTTTGAAACTGTTCACTCTGATCTAAAATGACCAACTTACAGTGTGGAGATGCACACTTATCCATAAAATGGTCACGTCACATGTCAAAGGCAAACTCATTTCTTCATATCTGTAAAAAATGAAAAGATAACACGAAAACCCATGGCTGCATGTGGGATGCCTTCAATATCTGTTTCATTAAAACTTGATCAAATAACAAAATCAGAGATCTCTCTCTCTCTCTCTCTCTCTCTCTCTCACTCTCTCGCAAAACATCTGCTTGTTTGGCCTATTGTCTTTTTTTTTCTTAAGAGAAAAATTTGAATTCCTATTTCTATAGCCACATAGTTTTTTTTTATGACATTTAACATTTGTAACTGGAAAGTGTTATGACTATTGATGAATAATTGTTGCTTCAAGTGAGTAAAAAACAAAACAGATAACAGAAGATAATGTGCAAAAGATGTGCATTCAAAAAGACAACAACAAATCTGCATGGACATGAAATGAACCTATATGTGCTTAGTGTAACAGCGTTATAACCGGGTATTACTCTTCTGATCAGAAAGGCCAGTGTAAGCCGTATTAACTTGAATTCAGCCATTGGTTTGTTTCTGTGAATGAAGGGAAATACTTATAATTTAAGAGAGCAGTTGTTTGTGATTACTGGTGTATTTGCATTGTGATATAAGCTGGGTGCGAAGGCTTTGTGTACGGATTTCACGCCTTCAATTTATTAAATATAGTTATTCATTATTAATACTATTAGTAAATAAATAACTAATTTGAGACTGATTTGAGTGATATTTTGGTTATATTTCCCTGGTGCCCCAAGAGTGATTAAACATAGTTTAATGATATTCTTATTTATATTATTAATACTGAAATATAATTATTAAAGAATATAACCAAAGTTGACTTGATACAACCCCAACAATATATACAAGCTACTAACTTACTGAAAGAATTGTATAGAGAACTGAAAAGCATTACAGTGACAAATTTTGTAACCTATAGCAACGCTAAACCCCGGTGAGGGCTCTGAAATTGGGGTCGTGGGCACTGCCAGTGCAAAATGTGGACACAGGCCCTTAAGCTATATACTGAAAAGCTATATGATACAAAAATCAGCAACTATACCACCAAGCTCCTGAGAAATGTAGTATAATTCATATTAATGATGTGACATTGTTCCCTTTCAGGCTCAAGGAGACTTGTTATCTTGGGGAAAACTGGATCTGGGAAAAGCAGCCTGGTGAACACCATATTTAGAGAGGACATATGCAAAATCAACCATACTTCCAAATCTGAAACAAGTGAATGCAAAGCAGCAACCAAATGTGTTAATGGAAAGAGCCTCACTTTGATCGACACTCCTGGTTTCTTCGACACCAACATGTCAGAAAATGGTCTGAAGCCTGAGATGGTGAAGTGTATTGTTGAGAGCGCCCCTGGGCCTCATGCTTTTCTCATTGTGTTTAAAGTGGAGAAATTCACAGAGCACGAACAGGCAGTCACTACCAAAATAACAGAACACTTTTCTGAAGAAGCTTTAAAATTTGCAACAGTTGTCTTTACTCATGGTGATCAGCTCCAAGAAGGACAGACAATTAAAGATTTTGTCCGCGAGGATCAGAAGCTGAGTGATCTGGTGAAGAAGTGTGGAGGCCGCTGCCATGTCATCGACAACAAATATTGGAAAGAAAAGCCAAAGGATGAATACAGGAGCAACCAGTTCCAGGTGGAAGAGATACTTAAGACAGTGGAGAAGACGATAAAGGACAACAAGGATGGCTACTACACCAATGAGATGCTTCAAGAAGTGGAGAACAAAATACAAGACGAGATGGAACCCATTAGAAAGTCATCAAAAAACATGTCAGAGGAAGAGATCAGAGAGAAGGCTAAGCTTAACGTCTTTAAGAAGCTTTTGATTCTAATGACAGGTACAGGAGTAGGTATAGTGTTAGGAGCTTACTTTGGTGTGAAAATAATGATCAAATTAGTTCTTAAAATATTGAAAGGTCTTAAAGACATGACAAATTCATGTTTAGGAATTTCAAAGTTAGCAGGAGGAGACAAATCAGCAGAAGGAGAAGTTGAAACACTTGTAGCAGCAGGAGCAGCAGCTGGAACAGCAGCTAGAACAATCCCAGCAGCATTCAAGGCTTTAGCAGTGACTGCTGCAGTGTGGCAGGAGGTGTGGCAGGAGGTGTGACAGGATGTCTTGCAGCTGAGGAAGCAGAAACAATGCAGGAAGCAGCAGAGAAGGCAGCAGATGCAGTCAAGAAAGGAGCCAATTATATCTTAAAAACAATAGATGAGATAGAACTAATCTAAAATTCACTTCCTTCAGATTAACCAACCTGTTCTGAAATGACCAAATTATTTGCTGCTGTGCTCTCCTTGTGTTTGTAAGTTGAAAGCGTGTGCATGTTGTTCCTAATTGGCATATGTAACCGCCCACTAATGCCCATAAAACGGCACAAGTGCAGGGCTCTGCAGACTCACAGAAACACATGCTGGTAGCAAAAAAAACAAGGTTGTGGAGATGCCTGGGACTCCTAACGCAGAATAAACTTTAGCAGTTAGAAGTGGAGGTACTACTGCAGGAGGTCAGCAGCAAACAAACTGTTTGATTCAGCAGTGGGATTAAAATTAAATATTGTAAACCCTATGGACTAATATTATACAAATGTAGTTTTACATGAAATGCAATGAATCCCAGAATCTTCTTAAAATGTTCGTACTAGGATCTAAGTACAAATTTCTTTATAAGAATGAATGGTGAATGAGGCACAATGTCCTCAAAATCAGAGGAATAAAGTAACATAATACATTGACTTTTGTAATGAACTTACTGGGCTGTTGATTAAATGTTTGACAGAAATCTTTATTTTGAAAATTGTTGTGTAATAGATATCCATTTAACCTTTTATCTCCAGTTTCAGAGTTGCTGTTTAATGTCTAAATGTTTTCTTGTGTTTTTCACTGAAGTAGATTAATGTTAGATAAGAAATGTGGGCTGATAGATGTCATTATTATTGACGTGAACAGAATGATTTTCATTGAACCCTCTCAATCCTTTGTATTCTGAACATATATATCAAACATAGCAATAAAAATATCAACACTCATTTCTTTTGTAAGTCCTTTTTTCTATAGAAACTCTGGAAAAACACTCTGGAAAAATGTGGATTCTTGTAATATATGGGAGAAGAAAAGTATTCCAGTATACTTCGGGAAAGTATAAAAAGGGTGAACTTTTCAAAAACAAACAAATCAACAGTGTTAAAGGTCAAATATGTCAGATATCTGCTGAAGTAAACGATAAAGTAACCTTACTATATGATCAGACATTAAGGAAACATGATATGTTGAAGTGCTGGCTTCTCTGACAACAATGCAGCAGCCAGTATGTCGTCCTTCTAACTTTAGATTCTGCTCCTGAATGCTCTGGATTTGTTTGGACCAGAGAAGTAGGTGGTTTTAAGGCACCACAGGCGGCAATTTTGCCCCTCGCACCTCGGATTTCCAGGCAAACCAAGTTGCAGTGATGATAACATTCAAGTGATCTGCTTCAAATATAACTGATTGTACCCGACCTAAAAAGCCTCTGCATGTTTCTAATGAGTTCTCTGCAATGTTTGAATTTTGACTGCAGAACCCATTTTAAACACTAGGTGTCATAGTTACATATTGATTTTTATTAGAATGTTTGGGAAAATTTAAATTTATAAAACCTGTTATGAATGTATTTTTCTTGGGTATTTACATTAACATAAATATTTCCAACAGTAATCAAAGCCAGAGAATTCTGTCATTTCATATTTTTGTCTTGTCATGGCAGACACAACATGTTTATCTTTGCCGTGGAAACACCAGATGTATAAGGAAGCATACTTGGTATGTAAAGGACTAGAACCTCAATGAGTAAGCTTTAATGTAAGGTATGAGATATTCACAAGTGCATGAGTGACAGAAAAAAATAAGGTTAGTTTTGCTTTAATTTTTTCTTGATGCTTTCTGACCCGACACTATATAACTTGTGTTTGACTTTTGTATAATAACTGAATAGTGGAGCTTCCTGACATGCAACAGAACTGGTTGTTCATACGCACGCTGATAAAAATAGAAGTGTACTGTGTGATGTGCTCATTAGCCTGCTGCCCAGAACCACGTCAGACAGGTGGAAAAACCAGGTGGAGGAAACTGGAACCGGACAGAGGAAGACACGCTGTCACGTCCTTGAGATCAGAGTCATTCTCTAAACCCTCGACTTGTCTACATTTTCTCAAGAATGGATGGTAAGTTATGGTTACTTATTCCCAATTATAAATACAAATGCAATTATTTCAGTGAGTCACTTGGAATAACAGGTTATTTTGCAAAGTGCCTGCATTTCATATCATTGATTGTGAGTATATTGTAGAACATTTAGGTAACAGAGCACTTATTGTTAAAGCCCTAATAACTTAACTAAGTTTGGCTACTTTACATGTAGTTTTTCTATAAATTTGTATGTTTCACCCTCACCTTTATGTGCCAGCATGCATATCAGTCCATCTTGTAAACTATTGTTACAGTGACAATAATTCTCACACAGACTAAGTTAATAAGATATTTAAAACCATCTTGTGTAATGTAGTATAATATACCTTTCCAATACAGCTGTGTTAATATCAATTTAAAGTACTTGTATTTATAAGTATAAACAGCAACCTCACAATAATGTGCATATGAATGACCAAGGATGCAGGTTTTATCTTTTCAAGGTTTCTGCCTGTTAAAAGGATATCTGTCCTTAACACTGCAGCACAGTTTTTGCCATGATTGTGCATGGAATTTTCATGTTGGGGTCTTCTTTTGTAAAGTGTTGTAAAATAAAAACTCTGACATCAATATCACTGAGACAAAGTCATTATTGTCTTTTAGAATCGACAAAAAGAGTAGTTGTCTTGGGAAAAACTGGAGCTGGGAAGAGCAGCCTGGTTAACACCATTTTTGAGAGACTGTGTTCAAGACAGACAGTTCAGCCAAATCCGGTACGACAGAATGCCAAGCAGAAAACAAATGTGTCAATGGCAGACGGATTATGTGGATCGACACTCCTGGGTTCTTCGACACAGACAGAGCTCAGGAGGAGATGAAGCCTGAAATACTCAGGTGTATCATAGAGTGCGCTCCTGGGCCTCATGTTTTTCTCATCCTGCTTAAAGTGGAGAAATTCACCAAGCACGAACAGGAAGTCATTGACGAGATACAAAAGTATTTCTCAGAGGAGGCTTTAAAATTTGCCATAGTTGTCTTTTCTCATGGCGACCAGCTCCCTGAGGAAATGAAGATCGAGGAGTTTGTCGAACAATGTGAATCTCTGAGGGACCTGGTGAAGAAGTGTGGAGGCCGGTGCCACGTCGTTGACAATAAATACTGGAAGACCAAAGAGCAGGATGAATACAGGGCCAACCAGTTCCAGGTGGAAGAGCTTCTTAAAACAATAGATAAACTTATTGAAGAGAACAAAGGAGGCTGTTTTACCACTGAGAGGATACAAGCAGCGGTAAGAGACAAACAACAAGAACAAGAGAACATCAGACGATCATCTGCAAACAAGTCAACTACGGAGATCATATACATGGCTAAAACCGAAGTGTTGGCAAAGCATATGTTTAAATTTGCAGGTGTTACAACAGGAGCACTGTTGGGAGCCTTTATTGGTGGAGCAATGAAATTAATGAGGCAAGGGACACCAACAGCAGCATTGGTAGCAGGCGTAGCAATAGGAACAGCTGCAGGAGTATTAGCAGGGGTTGCTGCAACAAGTGGGGCAACAGCAGAGGAACCGACTTCACCTGGTGATGCTGTGGAGAAATAAAAAAAAATGACTTGATGAGAGTTGTAATATGCATATTATTAGAAATCATACCAAAAGAAAATTCTAAAATCTATCTATCTGTCTTTTTTGTGTTTTGGGCCTTTTTTGCCTTCATTAGATGGGACAGTTGAAGAGAGTCAGGAAATGTTTGGAGGGTTCATTGGGAGAGAGAAAGGGATAACATGCTGCTGAGGGTTTCTCAGTCGGTTTTGAACCCATGGCCGCTGCAAAGAGTACGACAGCCTCTGTGCATGGGCGCACAGCATAACCGCTAGGCTACCTGCCCCCCATATATTCTGTCTGAGATCATTTTAAACATATAAACCAATTTCTGTCTTTCTCTGTATCTTTAACCAAAGTCTCCTGAAACTTGGATTTAAGAAGTAAAAATACAGATGTGTTATCAAAGTTTGCACAGCACTCACCAAAATCAAAGTCAAGGTAAAAATTAACTATACAAAAAAACTACATCAAATTTGCATTTCCAACAGTTTTTCAATACTGTCATAGCTTACCATATCTAGTTTTATTAACACCTGCATGATAGCAACACGTTTTAAATATTGTGAAATGAATGTATATAAGACCTTAGATTACAAGGTAGGAGGTTATTGTTGATTTGTAATAATAATGAGGTGTCCAATAATTTGATTTGGACTTGTGTATGGAGTTCATTGTGTTCAATTCATTTTTTTCCTTTAATGTTTGGTGTAGGTGTCAGATAAGCAACTGTCAATGGTTGCATAGAGAGAATGTCCTGACCATTGACAACCTCGGGTATTGAAAAATGAAGCCAATGCGGAAGTGCAAAAAACTGTGCATGTTGTAGCTGTTTGACAGGAGGCTGAGGACCCGCCTCAGCTCCACTTATTTGCCTGTTTCTAGGCTAAATTGAAAGTTTGTTTAGCAGTTCCAATATGGAAACCTCCATAGTAGGACTTGAAACACCTCTTCAGAAACCTATGGGTGACATCACTGAGACTACGTCCATGTGTTATTCACTCAACATAATCTGCCGAGCATTCAAGCAAAGTCTGCCTTAGTTTGGGTGTGTCTCTAGGGAGTGAATGGCTCTATGACTTTCCATCACAATGCCATTTGTTTTAAAATCACATTACATTCTAATTTGAACGTTTATTTGAAGAAATGTCTTACCTTAAAAGAGTGTCAGGATGTCTGATCTAAGCATGGGACATGTTAACCTTGACTAAAATGAAATGTAAAAAGTGGAAGTGTATTTTCGCAACAACTTTTTTATATTTGTACTTTTTTTTAGAAGGGATATGGATGGTTATTGTTATTATTTAGGAGAGGAAATGTTTTTGATATCCATGATGAGCACATGTGTGCTGAAAAAAACCTTTTGATTCTGGATCTTTCATGGAGGATTTTTCTTTGTTCAAACATTATATGCAACAATAAATCAGGAAATCCATCAAGTGTTTACTAGAGTCTTTTGTTTCAGCAGTGGGTGCATTGAATACAATTCATTTAGCAGAGGTTTGTATCCAAAGCGACAAACATCAGAGAGTAAGTAAAACACAAGTAAGGATCTGGAGAGGAGGAAACAACATCAGTAAGTGCAACAAAATCTGATTGGACACATACTGTAGGTGCTGACAGGATATGCACAGAGGCAAAGCACATCATCCACAGCTGTTAAATATAAAAGTGTGACAGAATTAAGCATTTAGTCTGTACACCAAATATCATAAAACTTCACTGTAGTTATATGCCATAAATGTTTGTGGCTTTCTTGCTACACCCTGTTTGTTTTCTGCTTTACATGGAATCATACCTGTTACTTATTTTGGCTTCTTACCTTCACCTGTAAGCCTCACCTCTGCTGTCGGACCTGAGTGAGTCACTGTTTCAGATCCGGAAACACAGAAGAAGAAGGGGGACAAAGGAATACAAAAAAAACAACCTTACGGCTGGTACATCCATACTCAATGTGTACAGTTCTGATTACAACACAGAAAAGCTTAGGATAAGGAAACGTTCAGACTGCAAGACTGATTAAAGCACAATGAAACTCGTCCTTTTGCCAACATATTAACACATGTCTATGTCTTTAAGAAAAGCAATGCATGCACACGTTTTTTGGTACATCCTCGTACAAGATAAAGTCACAAAGTAGATGTTTAAATATAAAATATATATGTAGCTATTTGAGGTACACAATTCAGATTTTTGGTGTATGAACAAGCGTAATGTGTCTTGATCATTCCATCAGCCGGTAAACAAGTCAGACAAGTCATAGTGAGCAAGAGGTGAGTCAGAGCAGGAGAACTCAGAGTAGAGACGTGTCGCTTGTCGCTAGAGCCAACTAATTTGTCTGCAAAGATTTCAACATTTGACAGCATGGACGGTAAGGACATTTTTATTGTTATATTTCAGCTTCTGAGCCCTATAAAGTACAAAATATTGTATTTTTTGTATTTGTATGTTTTTGAAGCGGGAGTATTTCACTTTTTTTAAATAAGGCTGGCTCTGACACACATCAAACATTCTTGTTACAATGGGCTTGAAATATTGTTCATATATTTAATTTTTTACTGTCATGAAAAAAGGAAATCTATAGATGCAACTGCATGACTTATTAAGCAAACAGGACCATGAGCGGCAAATTGATCATTTCTAGTTTCAACTAGGCACTCTATGGTAGATCAGCACTTACCGAGTGCCCTTTGTCCAATTGACATTCCTTGGACCAAGATTAAGTCTATAAGCTAATAAGATGAGTTAAGACACTCCAAAAGTGAGCATGACAAGAGTCACAGTCAATCTCGTCTCTGATGGTCTTGCATTTTTTAGCTCATAAATGGAAATGGATTTGAGTCCGTTTTACACCTATGGTTCATTTGCTCCGGTCCGAATCATGGCTGCAAAGTATTAAATTAAATCAATAAACAACAAATGAGCATAGGCTGTGGGGTCTTCAAGGTGTTTGGAAGTCAGATGAGTGATGCTTGGTCATCATCTGTACCCTGCCCCCAACTAGAGGCGAACTGGAATTGAATAATTACCTCAAGTTTGGTCTGTATCAAATATGGGGTATACAGTATATGGTATTCCATTTTTTGTTTTATTATTAGAAATCAATCAATCAATCAATCAAACTTTATTTGAATAGCATTTTTCATACAATAATATATCACAAAGTGCTTTTACATCAATATAAATCAAACAGCAACAACATGACTCCCTCCCCCACCGCTACCCCTCGATCCAAAAACTAAGGTAAAATAACTATTTTAAAACAGGTACTGACGGACTGAGGAAACACGAACATTAATTCTTAATGAGGAAACACAGGAGGTTAAAAATGTTAAAAAACTAGATGAAATGAGATTCAGTTAAAAGCTAGACTAAAAAGGTAGGTCTCTTAGAAACATCCGTCTAACTTTCTATCAACACAAAAATAAACTTTAAAACAATTCTCTGTGATCTGTGTCTCAGATCTATCTACTTCAGTAAAACCATGAACCCACCACACCTATATGATTTACTTAATTCAACCTAATTGCACCTTGTGTTTAAATCTCCAGCACAATAAACCAATAGGGAAAACCCTTCAAGAACCAATGTGTGGGGACTGATGAACTGAAACAGAATTCTTATTCTCTTACAGTACCAGCTACAAAGAGAATCGTCCTCGTTGGAAAAACGGGAGTTGGAAAGAGTAGCCTGGCTAACACCATATTTGGAGAGGCCATATTCCAAATAAATCACCTCAATGGCTTGACAAATAATTGCTCTCAAGCTGAAACCAAATCTGTCAATGGTAGAAGCATCAATCTGATCGACACTCCTGGTTTCTTCGATGCTGAAAGGTCTGAGGAAGAAAATAAGCCTGAGATGGTGAGGTGTATCACAGAGTGCGCTCCTGGGCCCCATGCTTTTCTCATTGTGCTGAAAATGGAGAAGTTCACCGAGCATGAAGGGGCTGTCATTGCAAAAATATGTGATTTTTTCTCTGAGGACGCTCTCAAATATGCTGCAGTTGTCTTCACTCACGGTGACCAGCTCCCTGAAGGAATGAAAATCAAAGAGTACGTCGAACAAAGTGGAGGTCTGAGTGATCTGGTCAAGAAGTGCGGAGGCCGGTGCCACGTCGTTGACAATAAATACTGGAAGGCCAACGAAGACGACGAATACAGAAGTAACCAGTTCCAGGTGGCAGAACTGCTCAACACCATAGATGAGATAGTGAGGGAGAACAACGGAGACTTCTACACCAATGAAATGCTACAGGAAGTAGAGAAAGCAATACAGAAAGAGGAAGCGCGCATCAAAAAGTCATCGGGAAGCATCTCACAGGAAGAGATCAGGAGGCAGGCAAAAAGCAACGTCTTTACGATCATGACAGAAAAAACACCAAAAAGGTGGATCAGAGGTTTAGTGGGTTTTGCGGTCATTGCAGGAATACTTGCTGCTGTCTTGGCTGCGTTCATCAATTTTAAAGCTGGGAGGGGGACGACGGAAGCAGAGGCAGTCGAAGATGTCATTCAACCCATTGTGGAGATTACACCAATAAGGGAAGATTTCATCGACACATGGTATGCTTTGTTTGAAGGAACTCATGATCCTTGGTGTTTATTTTAATAAACACTGATGGACTTTAAGATGACATTGACATTGGTAGCTTCTGGAAGACAATTTTTTGGGGGGCTTAGTACAGCCAGGAGTTATTAAAAAAAGCAATAAAAGACATCAGAGTTAAGACTACTTTCTATGTGCTGGTTATGGTTTACAGTCCCGCTAGCAACTTGAGACACAAGAATTCAGTCAAAGTGACAATTGACACGTAGGACAAGATTGTTAGCTTGGATTTTTTTGCTTGTAATATAAATTAAGTCTTTGTCATATGAAAGCCAATGGGTTCCAGGATTAAACTAAACCTGATGAAATCTGCATTTTATTCTTCCGACTGTTTATTCATAATCAGTTTTCACAGATGGAAACCCTGTCAACATCATTTGGCTTGACAATTGAAAAAATACTGATTCAAAACTGAAGGTGTGGGCTTTCAACATGGTGGACGTTCAGCGGCTTACAATGAGATAACTTGGTTGCAGCAATATTAGAGCTTAAGCTACACACTCAAAGTCAGAATATGTTAGCCTCAGTTCTTATCTTTACTTGTTTTTTATCTCTCTCATTTTTATGGAAATGTTGTACCTAATCCGTGTTGTAACCTTAAAGGGTGATTACTTACTTTCTTATATTTTTAACAGTATGTTTTGCATTTTTACATGTACAATGCAACAATAAAGCTGCTGATTGGTCACATGTCATTTCAGTTGTTTCTGTTCAAATTCACTGTAAAAGAAGTTGATGATACACATTTTTTTATGGACAATAAGTTTCACTGAAATACCAAAAGCTACAACAAATAACACACAACTGCCCTGCTGTAAATACCAACTAAAGCCCTATCTATTCCTGATCGATACACACCTGATGAAAAACAACACAGAGTTGAAAATGACTGACCTTTATCTGGAGGTGAAAATACATTTTTTGTAGCTAAATGTCTGTCTGGTTTTAAATGCCTTCAAAGGGTTAATGAAAACTGAACCTTCATGAGAGATGGCCTAAAACAAAGTTGTATGTGGCTTCTCATTTGGATTACTGACAAGGGTGGGGGGTTGGGGGGGTGTTCTTGTGGCATAGTGGTTAGTGGGTGCACCCGACATACAGTACGGAGGACATAGCAGGCAGCTAGGGCTCAAATCTGACCTCTGACCTCGTACACTGTCCTATCTCTCAATAAAGCCAAAAAAAAGTACCAACTAACTAATTAACCAACTAACTACTGAGGCTGCTCTTCTACCAAAATAATAGGGGAAATTATTTTAACAACTGACTTTTCTTCACGCTACAAAGTCAGTTCAAAAGTAAGATTTTGCAATCTGAATATTTGAACTTCACAGAAAATTGCGGTGTACATTTAGAGTTCTGTCATCATTTACAAGAAATGAGCCAGGCTTTCCTTTAAACACTAAGCCTTTACTTTCTGTTTACCGGTGCACCTGGTTCCCAGAAGCTGGGAATAGATGCTGCCAGAAAAAAACAAAACACCACAAATAAATTCCTTTCAACTTGCTCTGAATCACCGGAGGCAAAATACTCTGCCCATAAGAGGAATGATAATGTGCAGCATAGAGGCCACTGCAGCTGCAATCACCATCTAACCACTGCTTTTGATTGTCAACAGTTTCAAAAGTCACTGCACTATTGATACAAATTAAAAGAAATGATACAAAATTTAAAAAGGGCTGCACAGTGGTGCAACGGTTAGCACTGTTGCCTCACAGGGAGAAGGTTCCTGGTTCAAATCCCCATCCAACAGGAGCACTTCTATGTGGAGTTTGTATGTTCTCTGGGAGCATGTGTGGAATCAGCTCAATCCCCCTTGACCCTGAATGGGTGAAACAGTATAGATATAGGATGAATTAATAAACACATTTTGTTTGTTTGTGATATAGGAAGGTCAACGGGAAGAAAAGACAGACCTAGAGAATTCTTGCTTGGTGTTTTGTTTGGTTGGAGTTCGCATTAGCAACCTCACCCTTGGTCATGTCAGTCTGGTTATACAACCTATTATTCTCGAGTGGAAACTGTAACCATCTTATAAATAAACCAAAAACACATTCTTTCAGTCTGTACCTTGGAAGACAAAGACACCACCCTGTACAGCCACAGAGATATGCAGCACTCACCCTCCTTTTAAATCAATTAGATTATTAAAATGTCTTTGGAATTATTTTCTATTCATTGAAGTCATGCACAATTATTTCCCATCAAGCTCCTGTTTTATTTTATACAGCACTTCAGGGGCGTCTTTGTAGCTGCAGAGGTATCCCATAGTTGCATTTTTCAATAAAGCCATTTTCACATTATGCACTCTAGAAATGTATAGAACATTTCAGGCGGGCTGCCCCTGAAATCCTACAGCTATGGTTGTTCACACATGCCCCTCACAGCGGGAGACTATCCCTGTCCAACATGAGTGAGTGTCAAAATCAGCTTGATTGAACTGTTTGACAATAACTGATCAGACCAATATATGGTTTTTGTACCAGGCTGTAAACACGTTCATTTACACTGCAAAAATTGGCTTTTTTGGCTTGGGTGTGTATGTGACTTATTGTTCTTTTGGAGCCAGCCTCAAGTGGACACTGAAGCCGTTTTCACATATGCACTCCGGATAATATCTAGATATTTACAGGAGGACCGCTCCGGAGATTCTCCCTACCTAGCCGTTCACATATGCTCCTCCCTGCTTTTCCTGTCGGGGGGGGGGGGTGATAGACGTAAATAAACAACGCGGAAGTAGCGGCCGAAGCAACAGAGTCCGCTACACGTTGTTATGATGAAAATATTTGCCTTTATATCAATGCTATGTGTAATCCAATGGAATGACAACATTCACAAAAGAGAGGAGAACAACATACTGACGAACAGAAAACAGAATGCAGCAGGTTCATTACGTGCACGGAGATCGTAGTGGTCGCGTGCAGACACTTTAGCCGGTCACTATATAAACGTCATTCTCTTTCCATTGGGTCAAATTGAAATCTCCGGAGTATATGCTGCCGCGTTCAGACATCAGCTCACTCGGATATTCTGCGGATAAAATACTAGGGGTCTGGCTGGAGAAACTCCGGGTAAAGTCCGTACGAAAAATGCGGTTGTTTGCGTTGACATGTAGCCTAAAGAACGTCCAGGTAGGCAAATCTCCGGAGCTTTTCAGGAGATTTCCGTACGTGTGAAAAGGGTTTCAGTGAACTGCAGGATTCTGCGCTTCCTCATTGGCTTCATTTTTCATTTTCTCACTCCTTCTTGGTCATTATGGGATTTTAAGAGTGCATATGTTTCGATCTAAGTAATCTTCTTTCACTCATATAGCGAATTTTCATTTTTTGATTCATCCCATTATTCACCCACAAATCTTATTCTGGGTCGATGTTCCTCTTGGTCTGTTTTAAAAACTTCCTATCAAAAGTCTCTTTCCTTACAGTGTAGTTTTGATATGTTTCTTTATCTTTGGAGTTATGATTTTTTATTTTACTGGTTATTTATTTACCTGACTGTTTTATTTCCAAACTTGAACTGAAGTTATCATGAAAAATAAAACTGTAATCATGCCAATATCATTTTTGAATATGGATGCGTCTTGTACAAGGCTTGTTGTTACATAAAAGATGAACAGGTGACACATTCTGTCGTCCAGGTTAGGCTAATCAACAAGTTAAACCGGTAGAAAATGAAAGAACAGTCAAACCACAACTTGAGAACAGGAGGAAAAGCTTGCAGCGAGGACATCAAGCAGCCCTGGTGTGAACATGGACGGTGAGTAGAGTTTGTTTCTTATCAATGAAGACATGGAGGAAGTTTCCAGGTGTTTTATGCAGAAAAGGTAGTGTCACCTCATTATGAGATTAGAAATATCATAGTTGAAAGAAAAAAAAGCCCCATTTTTCATTATTAAATAATAATGGTTATGCATGCATTTTGTAAGTAGCATTTTAGTGTTGCAGTGAGTCAATGGAAATTTACTTTTTGAGGCAGTTTAATTCGTTTTTAAACCTGTTTTGTATTGACGATCTTTGCAAAGAATCAATTAACTATTTCTGTCTGTTGAGCAGCTGAGTGAGTAAAGAAACTCGGCTTTTTCTGTTAATTTGCCTTTATATAATCACTGCCCTCTTGTGGCACAATTATGTAATTACACCAGGACAACGCTATGATAATTAACGTGCTGCAGCTCAGATATACATGTATTAAAACATCAATAAAAGCCAAATTTTAACAATACTTTTTAATAATGAAAATCAAAACCGTGAGAATATGTTCTTGTTAATATATCTAAAATTAAAAACGTAATATTTTAGGAAATGTAATAATATCAAATTAGGAAAAAAAAAAGGTTGTGGTGAAATACTGCCACCTCGTGGTCAAATTAGATATAACAAGCAGCGGAATGAGTAAACCAACACGGCTCTTTCCAATTATAACTTGCCTTTACATATAATCACCACCCTCTTGTGGTAAAATGATGTAATTACACCAGGACAACATTATGATAATTAACGTGCTGCAGCTCAGATATACATGTATTAAAACATCAATAAAAGCCAAATATTAATAACATGTTTTAATACTGAAAATGACATTGTGAGAATGTGTTTTTGTTATTTTATGTAAAATTGAATATGTAATATTTTAGGAAATGTAATTTTCTCAAATGAGGAAAAAAAGGTTGTGTGAAATACTGCCACCTCGTGGCCCAATTAGATTTGACAAGAAGCTGAGTGAGTAAACCAACACAGCTCTTTCCAGTTTTAATTCACCTTTATATAGAATCACCGCCCTCTTGTGGCCAAATTGCGTAATCTCAGCAAGGCAATAATAGATCATAACTAGACAATTCCAGCAGAAATTGTGAAGGGTGGTTGCTCTCACTGCACCTTGGACTGTGTGCTGAACCGAGTGAATGGGGTCTGTGTTATGAAAAGAGACTATATTATCCTTCCATTTAAACCTGGCGTTTTATAAAATCAGATATTGTGTAAAACTCTTTTTACTTCTTTTCGTGTTGCATTACTTACTCCCCCTTCTCACGACAATATGTTTGAAATTCCATTATTTGACATTTAAAAATGAAAATGGTCAGGCTTTTATTCTGAATTTTTTACTGTCTGAAGATGAGAGTACTTTACTTGCTGTCTGAATTCAATCCTGCTTTTATTTTGGAATAAACTAAGGACCTTCTAGTAGATCAAAGGTCACGACATGGAAAAAGGAACTTGTTTCAGATCACAAACTAAATGAAAGCAACTCAAAGGAACTGTAACAAAGTGAAATGTTTGATGTCATCAGGTGGATTTTAAACCTTTGACATGACCATGAGCTGTCTGGGAGTTTTTTTAAATAGAAATGTGAAGTTCAAAGATGCGGCAGTGCTGTTCTTTTCCATCACTGTGACTACAGGGAGAAACTGCGGTCACTTTTATAACTATCATTTCGTAGCTTAAGCTCCTTCTAGCTGTGTACAGCTGACACAGAGTCATTTGTCTCTTCCAGTGCCGACTTCAAAGAGGATTGTCCTGCTGGGAAAATCTGGAGCAGGGAAAAGCAGCCTGGCTAACACCATACTGAGAGAGGATGAGTTCAAGATAAACCATACTCCCCTTTCTGACACAAGTCTTTGTCATGCAAAAAACAAATCTATCAGTGGAAGAAGCATCACATTGATCGACACTCCAGGTTTCTTTGATACAGGACGGTCTGAGGCGGATATGAAGCCTGAGATAGTGAGGTGTATCACAGAGTGCGCTCCCGGGCCCCATGCTTTTCTCATTGTGCTGAAAGTGGAGAAGTTCACCGAGCAGGAGCAGGCTGTGATCACAAAAATATGCCACAGTTTCTCTGAAGATGCTCTTGAATATGCCGTCGTCGTCTTCACTCATGGTGACCAGCTCCCGGAGGGAATGAAAATCGAGGAGTATGCCAGACAGAATCAAAAACTGAGTGATCTGGTGAAGAAGTGCGGGGGCCGGTGCCACGTCGTTGACAGCAAATACTGGAAGGCTGATGAAGGAGACAGCTACAGAAGCAACAGGTTCCATGTTGCAGAGCTTCTGAAAACACTTGACAAGATGATTGAGGTGAACAAAGGAAGATATTACACCAATGACAAGCAACAATACATCAAGAGTCTGATACAGAAAGAGGAGGAGCGCATTAGACAGGAACCAGGAAACACATCACAGGAAGAGGCTAAAAACGAGGCCAAAATTTGTATCTATAAGTGGTTATTGATCAAATCAGCGGGTATTGCAACAGGGGTATTACTGGAAGTTGTGCTTGGTGTGACGATGACTCTAACAACGGGAGGAGGAAAAGCAGCAGCTGCCTCCACCGTTCTGGACGGGATGCTAAAGGGCGCTTTGAAAGGGTACAATGCAACTGAAGGGGCACAGAGTCCAGGGGAAGCCGTGCAGATGACAGCGGATGGGATATGGAAGCAGTTTGGGATGCAGGGTGATAAAAACAACAAATGAAGAATTGGCAATGAGGACAGTGAGGCAGGAGATCAACAAGTTTTAGAACAAAATAAAGAACAAATGGGACAGTACAGGAACACAATCGACTTTTAATTATACTTAATGAAGGTTTTTGTTTATATATCAATGTTCTACCAGTGTCAATAATTACCATTAATTAAAGGATTCTTGATGTAGATATGGCGTTCAAATTGGAAAAATTCCTGTAGATAAATCTGAAATGTTTCTCTACAACACTTCATCAAACACTTTTCATAACTTTGAGATGAGGATGGTTCTCTTTTTTCTGTTTTTATATCAGGGTTGGAAATTCACTTTTTACTGGTGGATTTAAAAAAAAAAAAAATCTACCAGTCACTCATTTTTTTTTTTTTTTTTCCTGCCACTATATTTTGTAATGACGTATATAATCAAATGAAGGCTCAAAGTAACAAGCTATGTAATGAA